AGAAACTTTTGCTTTTTTCAATTTAAAATTTTAAGTATAATTTCTATTTTTTGTCTCCCTTAAATTTTGAAAATTTATGGATTTTACTTTGATTTGTTAAATTTTGTAAGTTTTAAATATTTTTGGATTTTTCAATTTTTTTTAGTGAAAATAATTACAAATTAACTCCTAAATTGATAAATATTTATTAAAAAACATTCAATTTGTAGTTTTTAACATGTTTACATATACTTGGTGTATGTCACCATGTATGACATAATGGTGTGTGTAGTTCAGAACACATTTCTATACTTGAAATAGTTTGCAACATATTAGTCAACTAGGAATTGTCCACGCGTTGCGTGGCTTTAAAAAATTAACATTAATAAATTTTAGTTATTGATTATTTTTGAATTTAATATTATATAAATTTGGTGTTTATAATAAATAATTATCTAAGGTAGAAGTCTTAGCATTTGTATCAAGTTTTTGGACAAATACATTGTTATACATAACAATTATACATAACAAGAAATAGATCGTTCATTAATAAAATTTACAGAATATGAAAAACATCTTCTTTGGCATAAATCTTTAACTTATATATATGAATCATATTCACTACGATTTTCTAAAAAAAAATGGTTGATCGTCTTTTTTGCATCAAATACGTCTATAAAAAATCTATTGATCATACAAGTTGTAATATGCTTTACTTCTACCAAGATATCTACATCATCTCAATAGAGATGTTAGAATGCATCTCTTTGTTTATTTCATTAAAACCTTGAATCATAAAGCGAGAATAATTGATGTTTGATTGTATTTTTNTCTTACTCTATTTTTGTTTACAATTTGTGATAGAGTAAAGTTTTCTATCGAGAGTNTTGGTTAGGAACGTTACTTTGTCCAACACAAATTGTTTCAATTGCATTAGAGAGTGACTGGTAAATTGGCTATAAAAGCTATACAAGTATTTAAATAACGTTTAAATTTTAAATTTCTCCAATTAGACTTATTTGATTTAACAGCCCTAAAAATCCTAAAATTATTCTTTAATTAATTATCTCACATCATTTTTTTGTTTTGGTTCATGTTGTGCTTCTTTTTAATAAAACTATTCTTTTGTGATTTTTTTAATTTTAAAATCGCAATTACCTATGTCAAAAGGCAAAGGCAAGAAATTTACATTTCTTTTGTATAGGATATAATTGGAGTTGATAAATAAAATATTTATTTTTATACATAAATTGACATAAAAAATATATTGTAATTTACATTAGAATTACATAAATATACACAAAATAGTTAATTGTAACTTGTTATAATTAATTTACATAAGAATTAGCTATTAAATTGGTAGAATTAATTATTAAAGTTATTAAAAGACACTTAATTTTTCTTTTGGTTTTAATAAATAATTAAAAAAAATAAATGTCAAAATGACACATAGCAGCCTCTTATGGTTTGAACTTTGATAAACCTTACTATATTATATAAGACAGTTGGTGTAGCTAAAAATTATTTTTCCTAAACGATTGGTAATATGTTGCCTAAACAAATTCTTACAATCTACTACCCATTAAGATGAACTGAACGGCATATTCGGTTTCCTTAATTAGGTGAATATTAACTTTACCAAACGCGTATATGGTAAATATGTTCTCTCGAGTTTTCTCTCCGTCTATGACAATTGCAAGTATTGAAGTTTGGTTTTAGGCAAAAGTGGTGTACTATGATAAATTCATTTTTTGTGGTGCTTTAATTGGAAGAAAATGAAAATATTGGGCACGATTTAGAAATCACGGACTTGTATATTTATGAGTGAGTTATTGATTACAAGGACAAGTATATTTATGAGTGAGTTATTGATCACAAGGACGAGAAATTTCAAAAAATGTTATTTTTTAAATATCACTTTACAAAATGCCATATTTTTGAAATTTTTATAAAAATACTATTTTCTCAAAATTATTTTTTCTTTATATTATTCATATTTGGGTTAATTATATTCTATTAGGTTTTAGTTATGAAGGTTTAGGGGGATTTAGGAGTCAAAACATTTTTTAGTGTTTAGAATTTTAAGATATAAGTTTTAAAAATCTATAATTAGTGGCATTTTTGCAATTGAACACTTTTAAGTGGTATTTTTGCAAATGTGCACATAACAAATGATATTTTTGCAATTTCCCCCAAAGACAAGTAGTGTGAGCACATATGTGGAGCTGATTTTAATGATTTTGATGTTTTTATGTATTATGTGGTATGAATCAATGTAACCCAAAAAAATAAGGGATAATTGGCTAAAAATACAACAAAAAATTATAATTTAAAAACTAACAAAAAAAATTCAAATCTAATGGTTTACATTTTGCTACGTACCCCA